CTAAATGACGAACAGTTGAAGTTGAGGTGCTTCCCCGAGACACTTAAGGACTGGGCAAAGCCTGGTTCATGACACTTGCACCTGGCTCTCTCACTACCTGGACGGAAGTTTATTCGAAGTTCATCGGGAGGTATTACTCCTATTAGAAAACTCAGGAGCTTCGGTCGCAGATCGTCTCATTTGCTCAACTACCGAGTGAGCCTCTCCACGAGGCTTGGGAGCGATTCAAGGATCTCCAACGGCAATGCCCTCATCACAATCTCTCTCTGGGGCTGCTGATGAACTGTTTCTACGACTCCCTTCACCAAAACATGCAGTATATGGTTGACAATGCGGCAGGATGGGACATTGGAGCGAGGACCGCGGAGGAGATGTTCGAAATTTTTGAGACTATGAGCTCAACCTCGTCGCAAAAGAGCAGCCGGGGGAAAAGAGTGGCAGTGAACGAAGTCGGAACAAGCAATGACTTAGTGGCCCAACAGCTGGCAGAACTTACTGAACAGATGAGGATGCTCTACGCACGAGGATCTCAGCCGGTGCAAACTATGGCCGTTGAAACATGTGGGGCATGTGGAGCCCCAGGGCATAGATCCGAAGTGTGTCCCCTATCATTCGATCGGGACTCGGGCGAGCAATTTATGGATGCTAGTGCTCTACAGGGGTACCAGAATCGGCCAGGCAATGATCCGTTTTCCAATACGTACAACCCGGGATGGCGAAATCATCCCCACTTCTCTTGGTCAAACAACACGAACACCCTCCAACCACCCCGTCCGAATTTCACCCAGCAACACCCTCGACCCAACTTTGTGCCACGTCCGAACTACCAACCGCAGCAGCAGCAACAGCAAGCACCGGGGGCAGGATCGAGCACGACTCCCCAAGACGACAAGCTTGACAAAATCCTTCAATTCATGGCCAATAGTGAGCAGAGGAATATTAATCATGAGGCCTCTATCAAGCGTATAGAGACACAGCTGGGACAGCTAGCCACTAGGGTCGGGCATATGGAGGCCGAATCCGACAAAGGAAAGTTACCTAGCCAGCCCGAGCAAGCCAAAGCCATCACGGTACTCAGAAGCGGGAAGGTTGTGGATAACAAGGTGGAGATGCCCGAGCCCAAGGAGGAGAAGACTCATTCGGAAAAGATAAAGGAAGCTGAGCCCGATAAGGCAACTGACGAGTCGATGCTACATAAGTCACCTAATCCATATAAACCACGCGTTCCTTTTCCAGACCGACTGAGAGACGAGAAGCAAGAAAAGCAGTTCCGGGATCTTTTCAG